TCGTATCTGACAATCAGGCGCTACTAGGGAAATCGGAAAGACAAAGAGCAGAATATTTGTCTTATTCTTTTATTCACTCAAACCATTGTGATATAGAAAGTAGAAAAGGACAGAAGTTCAGCTGTGTCCGAACTCTTATCTTACTAATACCATCCAGTGACTAGTGGTACTGTGCTCATAATCGTCGGTGATTTGCCTCAGTAGCAAAAAAGGCCGACGTTAAAGAAACAAGAGAGAAAATAGTAGATTGTTTTATTAGGATCAAAAGTGACACTTTGTTTGACACGCGAATTTTGCATTTGCGAGGCGGAGCGTTTAGCGAAGCCGAGCGAAAGCAACATTTGCGAGTCGAACAAAGTCACTTTTGATCCGAATGAAACATGCTATTTTTTCTGCAACCGAAAGAATTAACTCAAATAAACATGTGAAGTAACCACCAATGCCGTGCCATATGTATGCAATGCAACAAATATTGACAAATAATCCATGTGGTGAGAATATTCTATTCTGCATTAACAGCAGGTTAGGTTTTCTAGGATGTTCGAATTGTAGTTTCAATATAAATACAACCACAGAGTGACATATTCATGTATGGACCAGGTGCTCTAATGGCAAATACCGTGCCAGTGCCAGCTATAGGAACAAGACGTGGAAAATGTTAGGTTAGTGAGCATATCAACAATGATAATAGTGATTATTTATTCCTCTCCATACTACACTGTGTTTGACTTGATGATCAAAATGAAGCTAAACAATATCGTTGTTTGAGACAAAAAAAGTATTGCTTGTCGTGATTATTCAAAAACAAGTTATCCGTCCCGAGAATAACGAATGAAATACAGATCAATCAAGTATTTGAATCTTGAAGGCTTCCCTGATCAAAACAAAAATACTTAACTGAGATGTTTATAATTCCAATACTGAACTAAAATAAAGGTGTATTTATATCTCCAGCATGGGTATGAAATGCCAAATCTGCTGAAATCGGAAACAAATCAGGTATGCGTCTCAACCCAAATAACCAACCGTCACAATGTTGTTTATTCTTGATGACGTCCAGTAGATCCTTTAGCTCCTAGGAACTAAAATTCAACTTTAGCTCCTAGGAACTAAATATGTTGCCTAGCAACATACCTATTTTTGTGTCAGTAATAGAAACGTCAATTTAAGAGCTAATTTTGGTATCAAAATGGACGACTTTTGTGTCGGTTGCAGAAAAAAGTTTGAAATTACTCGGTACAAACCGTGTAACTAGCGCCCTTTAGGAAAGTCAGATATGAAAACAAATTCATGCGATGTGTTAGACAGAATCGCAAAAAAGTTGTAAACATATCCTACCCTTGCAAGGTCCCCTATTTTTGGAACATCTTGTCTGTATCGAAACAATACTGATTCTTTTAAAAAAATTCAGAGATATGAATTTTCCACCTCATCCATCAACATACAGATAGTATGGTCTATTAACTTTCCTATCTCTACTTCTACGACTGAAATTATTGAACTCTCTTATCGCTATTCACATCGATCACAAGACAGTACCAAAAATGACTACACGACAAAATAGTGATAAAGAGGCGATCACCAGATCTGCCGCGACCAATCTAATCATTCGAAGCGAGCATTTTGAAATTTATTCGTTTCGATATGAACATGTGTCGCGATAGCTTATTATAAACAAATCGAAACATTTGAGCAAAGTCGCAAAGTTGATAAGGCGTGTACAAGGTGGCTGTAATTCGAGCCTCATAATCATAGAAATCATATTATATATAGCGTCAGTATATATAATTTGATTTATATGCTCATAAACTATTTCATTTTTGTCTGGTAAATCTGAAGTCCGAATATGGTTATTCAGATGTACCAAGGAAGAAAAACTGTCTATTATAGTCGATCCTGCAAATTGATAGCCGAGGCTAGCAATCAGGCGAAACAATAGACAATTTTTCGTCGAGGTGCATATTACATTTTTTCGTCGACATCAAACATTTATATTCACATCACGGTTCTATTCGTAAAATCTATCGGATTTCGTGAATAATCAATTTACCAAAGATGAGAAGATTTGTATTTCGTGCAAGATAATTTATTCAATATTCGTAGCAGAGCGCTTTCGACTGTTAAGTCTTCATCAGTGCGTACCTGATGTAAGTAAGTAATCTGCTTTTAGCTATTGGGAAGAGATTGAAATTGAAAAATTTTCTTTGGAAATTTGTTTAATATTGAAAAAGTAAAAAATTAAAAAATAAATTGGTGACTTGTTACTTTTTGATGAACTTTTGATTTGAAAAAGACATTATAATAAAATCGAAATTTGAAATTGTTAAATATGAATTTGGAAATTGGTAAAAGTGAGGTTACTTACTCGTCAGGTTAACAGGGAAATTCGTCCATAAAAATATCTTTGGTCCAGTTTAAAACTAACGACATTAAGGTAAAATACGTCACAAACAAATTGACATGTGTTTCCCAAGAGGGGGTAAAATATGGATTACATTTTGTTAAGCAGCCATTGTCGCTGCCACATGTCGTGTTGAAGTGAAGTTGATGAGTGACGGACCTTGATTTAATTGTCATTGAACGTACTGAAGTTCGCTCTTTAGGGACTTGGTTTCAAGAGATTGACAACGAGAGAGTCGAATTCGTGTCAAAATCATAAAAAGTGATATTTAGTAAAATCGCTACCGGGCGAGACAATAAAGCAATGAGAGTGGAGAACATGAAATAAATAATAAATACTTATTGATACTGCAGATGAATGTGAACGACGTTGTACTCACCGAGGGTTCTGGCCCCTCTATCTGTACTCTCCATATTAGTCCCAGATAGCTGTAATCCATTATCATATCCATCGTCTTTGTAATGCATTATATTATTGTTATCTATTCTTCGACGACTAGCTAGTGTCAACCTGTAATGTAAAGAGGCTTCCTTCGTCTCAACATATCCCGTAAGATATGGACACGCAATGACAGTTTCTGTCATGTCATCGGCTCGCTTATACTGACCCAGTAAAGTATAAGAACGTGTTCGGAGGCGCAGGGGTCGATAGCATAGACAAGTGCTATCATTCTGGCTAACCTTCTGGATACGTGCTACAAAGGCTCTTCTGACCAACAGTCGGTAAACGAGATACAAATTCTCCTCTGACGAACGCTCAGAATAATCCGGAATAATCAGTCATATACAATATATGTACAGAGTTTCCCAAATCTGAACGTCATCCTTTGGAGGGCTGATAGTCCAGCTCATGACTGACCAGAATATCACAATATTACGTCAGTGAAATATTGATAGTCATGGAGATATTGGCACTTTATGAATATTGTGAAAATCGAAACCTTTGATCAGTATTTCGAATGCCACGGGTACAAAACTTCATAGTTTGAGAATCTAATCTTTGTTATGCAACCTGTAATAATCTTTCTATTGATTACAATTAAAAAAAATATTGGTGCAGTACCTTTGGAGAGAAGACAAAAAAATGTAAAGTAAATTGCCAGGTTCGCGTTGTGATTTTGTTCACAATCTGAAGAGTCTAAATAAGCTAATTAAAATGAATTCATTCGTGAAACTGACAAACATGTTTTTTTTTCTTCAAAGCTACCTATTGTATCAATATTTTCATTTTGGCTTTTGAAAGAATTAAAATTGTAAACTATGAAGTTTTGTACCTGCGGCACTCAAGATCCTGATCAAGCGTTTTCACGAAGTTTATAAAAGTGTCAATATCTCCAAGATTATCAATATTATACATAGGTCATATTGTGACATTCTGGTCAATCATAATGAATCAATGAATCAATGATTTAATGAATCGATGAATCAATGATTTAATGAATCAATGAATTAATGAATTAATGAATTAATGAATTAATGAATTTATGAATTAATGAATTAATGAATTAATGAATTAATTAATTAATGAATTAATGAATTAATGAATTAATGAATTGATGAATTAATGAATTAATGAATTGATGAATTGATGAATTAATGAATTAATGAATTAATGAATTAATGAATTAATGAATTAATGAATTAATGAATTAATGAATTAATGAATTAATGAATTAATGAATCAATGAATTAATGAATTAATGAATTATAGAATTAATGAAATAATGAATTTATGAATCAATGCATTAATGAATTAATGAATTAATGAATTGATGAATTAATGAATTGATGAATTGATGAATTGATGAATTAATGAATTATTAATGAATCAATGAATTGATGAATCAATGAATCAATGAATTAATGAATCAATGAATTAATGAATTAATGAATTGATGAAACGATGAATTGATGAATTAATGGGTCAATGGATTAATGAATTAATGCATTAATATATTAATGGACTAATGGATTGATGAATTGATGACTCAATCAATTAATCAATGAATTGATGAATGAATAATTGAATTGATGAATTGATGAATTGATGAATTAATGAGTCGATGAGTTAATGAATTAGTGAGTCAATCAGTTGATGAATTGATGAATCAATGAGTCAATGAGTTAATGAATTGATGAGTCAATCAGTTGATGAATTGATGAATCAATGAGTTGATGAGTTCATTAATTCATGAATTAATGATTCAATGAAATAACGAATTAACGAATTGATGAATTGATTAATTAATAAATTACTAATGAATTAATGAATTGATGAATCAATCAGATCGATGATGGATGATGTGTGAACAAACGCTAATTAAAAAATGCCATATTGGAAAGGAGTAACGTGTTAATGAGAATGTAAAAGTCATCACCAACACTTGACGGTTCGCGAATTTTCAATGGTGATAAGAGGTTTTTTATCAATGTTACGCTCAATTACTGACCCAATCTATTTTCCATAGTTTTTGGATAATATCTGATGTATGTTGAGAACTATATGAAAAACTGCAATGTACATACATAGGTGGAATTCATATTGATGATGAGCTCAAATCGAATCAATAGAATAGTTATCAACATTTTTGTTTTTTTAGGCCAGAGAAGCACAATTATTTGACATCAAGGAAAATATTCCGGACGTACAGTTAGCACACAGAAGGTCCTTCATGGGATTGAGTTGCCAAAATTGCACAATGACGAGTAGGGTGAGTATTTCTTGAAATAATATATCCGATATTGGGACAAGAAAGTCCCGCAGGCGAGTTTATTTCTGGGTCCAAGGACGAATGCCTTCAAATTGAGTATTTTTATTTTTACTGAGTGACATTTTCATATCACATATCACATTTTATTCAAATTCATTTTCTCATTTTGTTGTAGTTGCTATAAAATTATAAAAAATCATATGACAATAATTGGAAGAGCTAGTGGAGAGTATTTGAATACTTTCTGAAGGTTGAAAGGACGAATGTTCATTCTTCCAGATTTTCAAATATGTCCCAATGAAACAAAAGGCAGAGTTCAACTCGCCGATAAATCGACAGCTGCTCTTTCACTCAACCATAATATAGTTTTTCCCTTCGTTTCTTTGAATGAAAATCTGAATATAATCTCAATACTCATATTATATGTGTAATAAGGATGAAGTGTAAATGATTATTACAAACAGATTTCTTTCTCAGTTTTATGAAAGTATAACATCTTTTGAACGCAGGGACATTTCTGTTTTCTTATAGGCATTTTTATTTTTAGAAACTAGGAGAGGGAATCCCAAAGAATCTATGGAGATAAGAAGTATTTTGATAACTAAAAAGCGAAAATAAAAGAACTTCAAATGAATATAAATAAATCAAAACATATCTGAATGAGGTTAAAGTAATGGAAATTATTGGTGGAGTAGTATTGAATGATATTTATCAAGCAAGGGATACTGATTCATTTCTCAATATTGCGAAATTTTTCATAGATTCTCTAATTCATTTCAATATTTTCATATCATTCATTCTATGCAGGAACTGTCAGTCTATTGTTCGTGGAAGTATCTATATATACTAGATAGAAAAAAATCTGTTGATAGGGTTTCTTGATATTTTCAAATGGCCGAAGGCGCCAGTTTTTACAATTGAGGAAATTCTGATATTTACTTCCCTACTAAGGTATATTTTGTGTTTGATACCTGATATTGTACCGCCTGACATGTCGAACATTTTAAAATGATGAATATTTTTCAATTTGAAGTACCTGATCTATTTCGTTTTGTAAAAGGCCAAGGGGGGGGCAATTGCCCCCCCTGTCCCCCTAAATGACGCCTATGTATTGAAAGTACGAAAATACCAAAAAGTTGATGAAATTATTGAAAAAAATCTACACTACACTGCACTTCAATTGGGCTTCTATTTGAAAAACTAACCATCACCAATGATTTTGAACAGTGACGTCTTCATCTAGAGAAATGAATCCCAAAACTGAGATTAGGAAACATATGATTTATTTGTGCCGGGTTGCAGGAATAGTATATTTTACAAGTATTGAAATGCCTAGGCGAGGCTATTCCAAAATGTTGTAGATTATACTTTTTCGAACGAGAATTGAAAAATACAAAGTAGGCGATTAGAAAAACAGTTCAAGACTGGAAGAATTGCAGGCTGAAGTTCAATGTCTTCGATTATTTCAAACGAATGTCTTTTCAGAAAACTATAATTTGCCAACCTGGTAGAGAAGGATCCCCCAATTTTTGTCCTTCCTCATCTGTTCAATCTTCTGCGAGAGCTTCTGAATCAGAAAATTTCTGCTGTGTGTGTGTTTTCCATGCAATGAACTCCATGTGTTTACATTGTGTTCATTATTTCTATGCACGTTATGTATTATTAAAGAGTTTACGTATTGTCGTTGAATTGAGTTGAAGTCGTCACTTTAGTCGTCATTATCATCGTAACGTAATAATACATTTTGTTTTCGGGTTGTATTGGTCAGTTTTGGTTGTGTGTTTAGATCCGAACATTTATTCTTGTTAAAATGAGTGGACTCCTTGATGCAGAACTCCTTGAGGATCCCGAATTTGATAATTTTGACTCATCGGCATATTTCAAGTTTAGTTTGAATAACGTACGTTAATATTTAAGGTATACGTGAAAGTACGTGAGATAACGTACACCCATAAGCCCACTACCAACACTGTCAATTTCTACGTTTACGTTAACGTTCATGACAACACTTCAACTCTCTGTTTATTGATAGGTGTGGATGGTGACAAATGCGGTGCGACCTGATTAGATCTATTGTACCTCATCTTCTGCTATCTCAAGGTGTTCTTGTTTATTCAAGCTTCTCCTCTTTGAGGAATTCGAGGATTTTGAGAGGATCTGTCCGTGGTATTTCCTAACAGTCAGCTGGTATGATTCCTGTAAATTCGATCTTTTGTGATGCACATCATAACACTCCAGCAAGATGTGGTGGGATGTTTCTTGATGTTCTCCGCAGAATCTGCAGGTGCTGTCTTCCTCTAAGCCTATAGCTTCAGATGGTCCCAGTTCAAAATCCCGTTATTGTCTTTAGACTAATTTTGCTGAGGTTGAAATTGTCGAGTGGATCTTTGCCCTGCCGCACTCCTGGAAAGCTTCCCCAGTGTGTTGCTCTCATTGTCTTCATCAAGTCCTTCTTGACAATTCGAATTTCCAAGGCAGCAGAATGGTTCTGGTCTGATCAGATCCGTTAATAAATGTTCCTTTTCGTGCCAGAATGTCGCTTGTTCAATGCTCGTTATATAATAAACATTGTTATTCTCGTGCGTTTGGATATTCGCAGGGTCAAGGCCGAACAATTGTTTCAGCTCGCGGCAAATCGAATGAAAGTCGCGATAAGAAAGGAAACAATTTGAGAAGATTAGCGGACGGCATTCAGCTATAATTAACCTCAACCACGTCTCACGTCTATCTTATTTACACTCATGTATGGTACTATTTTTAGATTTTCTCTATGGATGCTGTGGGAGTACGATGGAATATAGGTGTTCTTTGATAGTTATTTTTACGGAGGAGGCTGTTGAGTTCTGATAATTCAGTTTCTACCTAGCCAGTGGCGGTTCGTTAGGAGAGGCAGGTGAGGCAGTGCCTCACCACTGAAAACGAGCAAGCATGTTGATGAACGCTAGGCAAAATAAATCTTCTCATAGGAGAATCATCAATGGAAGTGAATACGCGTAGATAGATCCATGGGTAACTGAAATTAGAGTCACTGGATGGTATTAGTCAGATAAGAGTTCGGACACAGATGCCATTGTGTCCTTTTCTATTTTCTATATATCACAATGGTTTGAGTGAATAAAAGGATGAGATATATGCACAAAATTCATAAAACGTACAACGATCACTTTTGAAAAAAATGCAAAAACACGTCAAACTGTTTTTTTTTATTCCGCATCTTTTGACATAAGTTACAAAAATAACACGTCAAAGTTGTCAAAGTTATGACGTCATCAACAAATTTTTTTAATGGGAAGCTAAGATTTTTATTACATTATGTGATAGAGCTTGTGTTTTTACACAAGGGAAAAATAGTTGCACTAGGGCTTGTTCGAAACGTTGAACAGAAAATTCGAAAATAGGGTAATTTATTAACCTAAAATTAGCCTTTCAATACCTATATATCAAATCGGTGAAAAATATAATATTTTTGAGCCTATAGCCACAGGTTTGTTTTGAAAAATATGCAGCAAAAAATTCCAAAATGCAATAGTTATAATCAATACTCACCCTTTGTCTTGAAAGATCGTCATAAAATATGCTTTTGATAGAAATACATAATGTATAGTGAATGACGCGTATTTCGACAAATTGTCTTGTATTTTTTCTGTTTGAAACGTTGAGCAAAAAATTCGAAAATAGGGTAATCAATTAGCCTAAAATTAGCCTTTCAATACCGATATATCAAATCGGTGAAAAATATAATATTTTCAAAAATGGCTCTGCTGAGTTCGCCCGAAGCCAGCAAAGCCACAGGTTTGTTTCAAAAAATATGCAGCAAAAAATTCCAAAATGCAGTCGTTTTTAAGCCCATAATCAATACTAACACTCTGTCTTGAAAAATCGTCGGAAAAAATGCTTTTGATAAATATGTATAATGTTTAGTGAATAAACGAGTATTTCGAGGAATCGTTTTGTTTTTTTGTGCTTGAGACATAAAGCAAAAAATTCGAAAATAGGGTAATTGATTAGCCTAAAATTAGCTCTCCAATATGGATATATCAAATCAGTGAAAAATATATTATTTTAAAAAATGGCTCTGCTGAGTTCGTCCGAAGCCAGCAAAGCCACAGGTTTCTTTTAAAAAATATGTAGCAAAAAATTCCAAAATGGGATAGTTATCAAGCTCACAATCAATACTAACATTTTGCCTCATGAAATCGTCATAAAATATGCTTTTGATAGAAATACATAATGTACAGTGAATGACGCGTATTTTGACAAATTGTCTTGTATTTTTTCTGTTTGAAACGTTGAACAAAAAATTCGAAAATAGTGTAATTAATTAGCTTAAAATAGCCATTTGATCTCGATATATCAAATCGGTGAAAAATCTATGTTTTCAAAAATGGCTCTGCTGAGTTCTGCCGAAGCTAGCAAAGCCACAGATTTTCCTATGATAGACAGGAGCAAGAAAATTGGAAATAGGGTAATAAATTAGCCCAAAATGAGCACTACATTCTCACTATATCAGATATTCAAAAAATATTGTTTTTCAAAAATGGCTTTGCTGAGTTCGGCCGAAGCTAGCAAAGCCACAGTTTTTTCTATGTTAGAGAGGAGCAAAAAATTCGGGAATGGGGTAATAAATTAGCCTAAAATGAGCCTAAAATTATGAGATGTGTCTCATGTTGAAATTCGAAAGTGGCTTTGCTAGTTTCTTTGGTGTGTAAAACATGAAGATTGTTTTGATTTTCCACCTTTTGCTGCATTCCCTTTTTGCTCATGAATTTTGAATTTGATCGGTATTGAAAATGCCATATCACATTGCAATTTGCTTGATTTCCTCAGTTTCGTTCTCGAATTACGTAGTTTTGCATTCAAGTCCTCTTTCTCTATGATAATTTTGTTTTGCACTTATTCTCATGATAATATTAGAATTTTTTTCAATAGTCTGTTCTGTAAATCAATGGAACAACGGATCTTACAAATCTTCTGTTTGAAAATTTGCATAAAATATAGTTTCATTCCAATCTGCTATTATAAGAAGTGAATTTCGGTGTATTTAATTACCTACCTCACAAATTTCGCTTCAAATTAATTTTCCATCCATGCCGTTTCATACATTTCTCCTATTCAAAGGAATGGTTGATATTTCCTTTGGAAAATTAAAAAAATGGAATCGCCATTTCCTCCAGAATTCCCGCAATTCATTACACAGCAGGACATTTTCATTCACATGCTGTTGTCACAATGCAAGATGTGTAATTTAATAAGTATACACATTCAAAAACACTAACAGTTGTCATTTCTGTGTCCGAACTATTATCTAACTAATACCATCTAGAGTCCCTGTATATACCTTAGACAAGAGTCCAGACACAGCTATACTTCTGTCCTTTTCTGTTTTCAAAAAATGCATTGATGATTGAATGAAGGGATAAGACATATATATCGAGCTCTGTCTTTTCAATTCCCCTAGTGTCAATGATTGTCAGAAACAATTTTGAGGGTTAGATTATTTGTCAAACCGTTCATAGCCGTAGATAGAAGTGAGAAATAGGGCTATTTTAACTAGAATAACTATCAAATTTTCAAATAATGAACAACAGGCAACAGGGTGTTCAAATTTCGAATCGATAATTTTCATAATCAATTCCTGAGATGGCTATTGCAAATTTTCATCATCAGATATTTCTTCACTTTATTAGATATAAGGAATATAATTTAAGTGTTCTACGTGGTATCACATATATAGCCAAGAAAATATAGTTGTTTTCTGTTGGGATATAAAAAAATAAAAGATATATAATTGTTTCAATATAACTTTCTCCGATTCTCTCAACTCAATAACACACATCAGAAATAAAAGTGACAATATCAAAACAATAATATATTTGCCCACCTCTTCCTGCAGTCTACATTCACCTGTAAATTTTGAATTTGATCTGAATTAAAAACATCGTGGACTTATGACATAGCACATTGCAGTTTCTCTAAATCTTCTAGTTTTGATTTCAAACTTTCAATTTCTTTCCGCATCATATCATTCTCATTTTCTTTCTCTGTGATCTAAGGTATATACAGGGACTCTAATACCATCCAGTGACTCTAACTGAAATAGAGAGAAAGCGACGTAAACGACGTTTGTTGTGTTTTGTGGTACCTATGATGCATTTCTACATTCTATTCAAGACTGTCATGAGAGCAATTGTAAACTGTCCCATCATGTCACGATTGAAGTTGATTGTTAATTTGAATGATAGATACACGTTACATAATTTAAGATTGTTGAGTTGAAAAGCGAGAAAAAATCCAATATACAAAAGGTCATCGTGTTTCCATTTTTATTAATAAAGCCAAGTTCAGATATTACAAAAACGTTGCCATAGTTCGTGTGGCAAACATGTGATTTTTTTGTATTCATTCAATAAACGATTTATTTTGGTTGAAATTTATTTCTTATCTCACTACCACATTAGGGCGGTAATAGATTAAGAAAACACTAGTGCGGTAATTAACGTCATTATGACATTAAAAAAAGTGTCAAATCATAATCATTTTTTGACAGTTGTAGATAAACACTGTTACCTTCTCAACTGGTTATTCAGCATGTTTGAATATTTTAACATTCATCATACGGGTGTCAATGAATCTATTAGACAAGTCATAACTTCTGGGCCATCAGGTGTATCAGAATGAGATTTGGTATCGGTAACTGGTATGTGAAGAGGAGAGTTTTCACATATTTTTCAGTTTCCGGTCACTTCCGGTTTCACCGGAAATTGCTCCGGTTCTAGATTTCTAAATGGAACACCCTGTATATTATAAAATTTTTGGATTTCTGAGACAATTCTAGATCAGGATGTGACATTTTCGAAAGTTTTTATGCCTACTAAATTTTTTCGGAGTCACTTTTGAAATTACATCTAGGTGGCCATGATCAGAAGTAAACTAAGCTAAGGACCTCAGGTGATATCAGAAAATTACAATCGCGAAGTTTTAGTGACAAGTATGATAGATATGAATAAGACAAGTTGGCAAAATTACATTTTCGTGTCTAATTATTATTTTTCAAATGGCGACCATTTTTTGACAAGCACTTTCCGAAAAAAGGATATTTTGACGAATATAACGATACTAATTTATTTGCGATTGGATTACAAATAAGAACATTAATTAAATATTACTGACGAAAATACTTCATTATAATTTTTTTACTTTTGTCAAGTGTGCCGAGCATAGGCATGATGCATAATATTTTACAATTATTGCGATCAAGTCTTCTTGTTAATTTTGTTAAATTTGTTGACCCAATCGCAAATAAATTAGTATCGTTAGATTCGTCAAAATATCCTTTTTTCGGGAAGTGCTTGTTAAAAATGATCGCCATTTGAAAAATAATAGTTATACACGGAAATGTAATTTTGCCAACTTGTCTTCATCCATATCTATCATAATTGTCACTGAAACTTCGCGATTGTACTTTTTTGTTATCACCTGAGGTCCTTAGATTAGTTTACTATTAATCATGGCAACCTATATAGATGTCATTTCAAAAGTGAAAATTAAGTAGGCATAAAAACTTTCGAAAATCTCACATTCTGATCTAGAATTGTCTCAGAAATCCAAAAATGTTACAATATACGTGTTCCATTTGAAAATTTAGAACCGGAGCCATCTCCGGTGAAACCGGAAGTGACCGGAAAGTGAAAAATATGTGAAAACTCTCCTCCTCAAATACCATTTACCTATACCAAATCTCATTTTGATACGCCCAATGGTCTAGAAGTTATGACTTGTCTAATAGATTCGTTGACACCCGGTATATGAGATTTTTGTTCACAGGAATCCCTGGTGACCAAAGCGACTGAAACGCTAGCGTTGCGCAACATCCTCGACTACCGGCTGCCTTTCAGCAAAAACGGCTTCTTCCAGCGATCCTTCGCGCACCTCTACCAGGTGTGCGAGCTGAAAAAGTTCCCCTACGCCCAAGTGGCTGACGTCACGCTGCGCGACGAAAGACTGAAACGCGCCGTGGAAACGGCGACTGCGCAGCAATTCCGGGATACGGAAAACGGATCGGAAGAGTTCTATCAGGAGCTGTTGATGAGCAATCAGCGGCGCAGCAAGAAATTGTTGATCGACATGCGGTCTACCTTGTCGGACTTTTTGCTGAGGTAAAAATAGTAACTAACCTACACCGTTTCCCCCGCAATCATCTAAATTCTAAGTCATTTTTCCCCAGATTCTACGGAAATTAGAGTGTTGCATGGAGGAAAGCCCCATAAGAGCCCATGTGTTAGAGAGAGATAGATAATGCAGATTTTCCCCAGATCTACGGACTTTTTTCCATGAATTTAAAGGTTCAAAGTAGCAAAAATGGCTCTCTTCCAAGGTTTCCGACGAGTGAGCTTCCTGCAAGCTGGTGACGGGAATACATATCTACAATAACAAGAGAGATACATAATAGGGTGTGTCGAATGGAAAATTTTAGTGAGCTAACTGATTTTGCGTGTTCACCAACGGTGCTAGGGGTTAGGTGGGTGACGTAAGGTGCTGAGGTGGGTGGACTACCTTCCGTGCGAACGATATAGTAATAGTAATAAGTTCTCGTTCGAAAGGATTATCCTTCGTGCGATCCAAAAGATTATGGATACTCGTCTTGTAATGTTTAAAATCTGTCGAAGACGTTGCAGACCTTCTGGTAGGTGAACTGAGGAACCCTGACGCATACCTCGGAATGTTTTTCAGTGTGCCTGGTCCTCAGATTTTTGGTAATTTGGGCTGATATTATTTTGAGTTAGAGGTTGTTGTATATCAAATGAAAGGTCTCTGCTTGAAATTTACGAAAATCAACTTTTGAAGGGCCTCAAGGGCCATGTAGTGAATATTATGCCAACTATAGGTTGTTGTATATCGAACGAAAGGTCTCTGCTTGAAATTAACGAAAATCAATTTTTGAAGGGCCTCAAGGGCCATATAGTGAATATTATGCCAACCATAGCTTGTTACCTATCGAATGAAAGGTCTCTGCTTGAAATTTACGAAAATCAACTTTTGAAGGGCCTCAAGGGCCATGTAGTGAATATTATGCCAACTATAGGTTGTTGTATATCGAACGAAAGGTCTCTGCTTGAAATTTACGAAAATCAATTTTTGAAGGGCCTCAAGGGCCATATAGTGAATATTATGCCAACTATAGGTTGTTGTATATCAAATGAAAGGTCTCTGCTTGAAATTTACGAAAATCAATTTTTGGAGGGCATCAAGGGCCATATAGTGAATATTATGCCAACTATAGGTTGTTGTATATCAAATGAAAGGTCTCTGCTTGAAATTTACGAAAATCAATTTTTTGAAGGGCCTCAAGGGCCATATAGTGGATATTATGCCAACTATAGGTTGTTGTATATCAAATGAAAGGTCTCTGCTTGAAATTCACGAAAAACAATTTTTGAAGGGCCTCAAGGGCCATGTAGTGAATATTATGCCAACTATAGGTTTTTGTATATCAAATGAAAGGTATCTGCTTGAAATTTACGAAAATCAGCTTTTGAAGGGCCTCAAGGGCGATATAGTGAATATTATGCCAACTATAGGTTGTTGTATATCAAATGAAAGGTCTCTGCTTGAAATTTACGAAAATCAACTTTTGAAGGGCCTCAAGGGCCATATAGTGGATATTATGCCAACTATAGGTTGTTGTATATCAAATGAAAGGTCTCTGCTTGAAATTCACGAAAAACAATTTTTGAAGGGCCTCAAGGGCCATGTAGTGAATATTATGCCAACTATAGGTTGTTGTATATCAAATGAAAGGTATCTGCTTGAAATTTACGAAAATCAAATTTTGAAGGGCCTCAAGGGCGATATAGTGAATATTATGCCAACTATAGGTTGTTGTATATCAAATGAAAGGTCTCTGCTTGAAATTTACGAAAATCAACTTTTGAAGGGCCTCAAGGGCCATATAGTGAAGATTATGCCAACTATAGGTTGTTGTATATCGAACGAAAGGTCTCTGCTTGAAATTTACGAAAATCAATTTTTGAAGGGCATCAAGGGCCATATAGTGGATATTATGCCAACTATAGGTTGTTGTATATCAAATGAAAGGTCTCTGCTTGAAATTCACGAAAAACAATTTTTGAAGGGCCTCAAGGGCCATGTAGTGAATATTATGACAACTATAGGTTGTTGTATATCAAATGAAAGGTATCTGCTTGAAATTTACGAAAATCAACTTTTGAAGGGCCTCAAGGGCGATATAGTGAATATTATGCCAACTATAGGTTGTTGTATATCAAATGACAGGTCTCTGCTTGAAATTTACGAAAATCAACTTTTGAAGGGCCTCAAGGGCGATATAGTGGATATTATGCCAACTATAGGTTGTTGTATATCAAATGAAAGGTCTCTGCTTGAAATTCACGAAAAACAATTTTTGAAGGGCCTCAAGGGCCATGTAGTGAATATTATGCCAACTATAGGTTGTTGTATATCAAATGAAAGGTATCTGCTTGAAATTTACGAAAATCAAATTTTGAAGGGCCTCAAGGGCGATATAGTGAATATTATGCCAACTATAGGTTGTTGTATATCAAATGAAAGGTCTCTGCTTGAAATTTACGAAAATCAACTTTTGAAGGGCCTCAAGGGCCATATAGTGAAGATTATGCCAACTATAGGTTGTTGTATATCGAACGAAAGGTCTCTGCTTGAAATTTACGAAAATCAATTTTTGAAGGGCATCAAGGGCCATATAGTGAATATTATGCCAACTATAGGTTGTTGTACATCAAATGAAAGGTCTCTGCTTGAATTCCACGAAAATTAATTTTTGAAGGTCATCAAGGGCCATATAGTGAATATTATGCCAACTATAGGTTGTTGTATATCAAATGAAAGGTCTCTGCTTGAAATTCACGAAAAACAATTTTTGAAGGGCCTCAAGGGCGATATAGTGAATATTATGCCAACTATAGGTTGTTACCTATCGAATGAAAGGTCTCTGCCTGAATTTCACGAAAATCAATTTTTGAAGGGTCCCCAAGGGCCGTATACTGAATATTATGCCAACTATAGGTTGTTGTATATCAAATGGAAGGTCTCTGCTTGAATTATACGAAAATTGATGTTCAAAGTGCTCCAACTGTCATATAGTATCGATTATATCACCTATAGGTTGTTTTATTTGTGACAAAAAACCATATCAGGAGGCAAACGTTCGAGATACCATACTATATATCACAAATGGGCATGAATCCTATAGTCGTTCAAACAGATGGAAGCGGCTACAGTCCTGCCACATATGCGAGGCAAATTGAAAAATCATGAAACATCAATGATCGTAGAGTATGAGTTGAATCTGAACAATCTAGTGCATCTATGGTAGATATCCCAAGGTGCAACCTAGCAGAGTGTTGAAAATCGAAAGAACTAATTGCGAAAAATTATAGAAAATGTATTTTAATGTGGAGTACAGTTCACACCATCTTATATATGAAAAGAAATTCCATATATAGAGAACCATGGCGCAAACCATATCAAGAGGTAGACGTGTTCGCGATTATCTTCAGTCTCATCGAAAAAATCGCTTCAGGTTTGATGGAATTCAGTATAATTAGCAACATTATAGACGAATCAATACGAATAATGATGGTAATCGAGCGGCAATTGGTCATAAATGTCGTCGGTATGAAAAGTGAAAAACGCGAAAGTCATGGACAATCTACGTGCTTGCCAGAAAACATCATCTATGTGATAATTTGAAACTGGAGGAGCGTAGTTAAGGTTTGTTAATCTGTGGCGTAGTTGAAACTCCCTGCCTTTACAACACAGTGCTCTATATGCAAGATAACCTACGAATATAGATTTGATCTCATGCGATTCAACAGATGATACCCATTAGATATCCTCAAAATGATTCATATTCCATAACTAGAAACCTATAGAAATTCATATGATAATAGAAACAATAGGTGATGAAATAATATCAGCTCCTTCGATAATGGAACATCTCGGAAACTGATTTTGGTTTCAAAAATGTCTTCTTTCATAGTATATTTCTATCACTCTACATTATTTTTATTAAATTAGATTATAAACATTATAGATATCTTCAAAATGATCCATATTTTGTTACAAAAACCTTTATATTATGTAAATATATGTACAGTATGATGCAAAGGTGTAGAATAAATTTTTGAAACTAGACGACCCTCAGGTGTTCAATTCTCAGTAGCAGACCTCTGCAAGATTCAGTTAAACAAATTAGCAATCTTCTAATGCAAAATTTCGACTGTTGGATAGACGAAGCGTAGTTGAGGTTTGTTGATCTGTGGCGTAGTCGTAACTAGAAACCTATAGAAATTCATATGATAATAGAAACAATAGGTGATGAAATAATATCAGCTCCTTCGATAATGGAACATCTCGGAAACTAATTTTGGTTTCAAAAATGTCTTCTTTCATAGTATATTGCTATTACTCTACATTCTTCTCATCAAATAAGATTATATATATATCCATATTTTGTTACAAAAAACCTTTATATTATGTTTATATATGTTCAGTATGATGCAAATGTATGGAATGAATTTTTGAAACTAGACGACCCTTGGATGCTCAATTCTCAGTAGCAGACCTCTGCAAGATTCATTTAAACAAATGAGCAATCTTCTAATGCAAAATTTTGACTGTTGGATAGACTTTCAGTAGACCCATCAGATGAGGTGTCACATGGTCCCTGTTTGTATTTGAAAAAATCGTTTATTTCGTCATTTCTCCAGCACCGGTGACGTAACATCTTCATATCATTGGCTTCAAAAATAATAACGTGTTTTTGGATTTTTTTCAAAGGTCATCCATTTCTGGAATGAATCTATTCCATAATTTTGCATCATACTGTAAGTTGTTTTCTTATTACTCTATATTCCTCTCATCAAAATAATATGGTAAATTGTATGTTGTTGATAATACTAATTAACGAAAACTGAGTGCATTCACTATTACGTATCTGATGACGTATCACATAATTAGAAATCTGTCGGGACATGCTTCTATCAGAGTGTATTTAATATAAGGCTCGATATAGTTTATTCATTTAGAAATAGCGAGTGATTCTATTTGTTCGTGCAGAGATATTACATATTATGTAAGTGCGAATTTGCTAGAA